TTCCCCAGCTAGCCATGCTGGCTGGGGAATTCTGGGAGTTGAAGTCCACACATCTTAAAGTCCCAAGGTTGAGAAACACTGGTCTAATGCATGGAGCCACCATTCTGTCTTATGGAACAAATTCTTCTTTACCCCACTCATATCTAGAATCCTGAGCAGAAGCATTTCACAATCTGCACCATTTTGTTACAGATCCCATGTGCTCAGGTACATAGCATGCACACATCAGCAGATTTCTCATGAAAACATTTAATTTGGCCTTTTTGAGTATCCCAAACAGATCACATTTCTCATTAGAACAGAGATGAGCTCGCATGTGCTTTAAAAAGTCTGCATTAAGTCTGCATTTTTCTAAGACTTGTTGAACCTTTTAAATCGGTGCCTTCCGTTCTTCCAGAAGCTGAGCTTTCCTCTTGGGAGGCTTGAGGGGGAGGCCCTGTTTATTTTCAGCTGTGTTGGAGCCTTGGCTGAAAATATTGGGGAAAGGCTGGCCCATTAAGAAGCCCTACTGAATTCTAATGGGCTTCTACACAATGGCAGCCATCCTCTGACCACACAAAAGACCCCCTTCACTCAAGCCAGAGGCAGGGTGCCAGAAGCTCTCACCCTGCTCACTCTCAAGTGAAACTCACACAACCATTATACAGTCCAGGCTGCTCGGTTGCAGAAAAATCACAGATATGCTTTATGCATGACAGAACAAAGAGCCCTCAGAGAGCTTGGTCTTTCACACTGGACTTTCCTATCTTCAGACCAAAAGGAACAGGACCTTAACCTTGACTCCAGCCATGGGTCCATTTTCTTGAGGGTTGCCTCTTATTCAGAGCCACAGGAGCTCCCCAGAGTTCAGAAGAAGCTGGACGTTAATTGCATTTGCCCAGCTTTCAGCCAAGACAGAATTGTTGCTCAGAATGTCCAGTTAGTGTGGCTTTTTTTTTTTTAATCCACCATGTTTGGCACAAAAGTAGAAAGCATAAAATAAAGTCAGAGAAACCTAGAAAGGTAAGCTGTTGTGCAGAAAATGAGTTTGACCTGCTTGCTGGAGGATACATCTCACTGAACTCAGTTGGCTTCAAAATTGTGCTATAGCTTTTTTTCAACTTATGTAGGAAGAAACCTAATTGAACTCAATGAAGTTTTCTTCCAAGTAAGCATGTTTTGGCCACAATCTGGCAATAGCCAACCTACTCATATCTATTCAGAAAGAGTGCCATGTAATTCAATAATTTGATTCACGCACCATGCTCTGCCATCATTTCTTTGGAGTAGACTAGCAGTACATGAACCCATCCACTGGGGTTTATCAGCTATAATAAACTATGATTAAATCAAGCTATGGTTTAGTATAATGGATAAAGTCAGTTGTTGGTTCATTTATCCATTATGTTATGTCAAAATCTGGTTTATTTGGCTTTGGCTTAATGTGCTGTGTAGATTGAGCCACTGTGGATTGTAAACAGTGGTCCGTGGCATAGTGCAATGGATGGACCAAGCCATGAGAGTTATTTACAGTTAAATACATGTAGAATAGTAAGCTTAAATTGCAATCCATCGCCTATACTAGAAATCACTTCTGTTGCACAAAATGGGACCAACATCCAAATAACCTTGGGTGGAAATAGTGTTGTAATTTGCATACTCATG